ATGATACAACGAACAACAGACAAAAAGACAGAAAGCCAAACTGTTCACATAACACTACACAAAAAACTGGGGTTTGAGCAACACAAACCCGACCAAAAACCCAGGAAAGAATATAATATCTTTATTTTCATCTTATTATTACTCTGTAAGTGTTTGAGTCATATATGAGTTTGAGGTGGATTTCAACCACTACAGTGATCGTACGGTCTTCGTCAATGAACAAAACCCCGTATCCGTATAGTCAGCTATAAAAGGTCTCGAAATGATAAAATATGAACAATGACAAACGAGAAAATCAACAACCTGGTTTATGACAAAAAATCCAATAAAAAACAAATGTGACAAACAGCAATCAACGAAAATCACTGAATTACAACCTGGGACATATGAGTTACAACACAAACTATGAATAAACTGCAAAAAATAGTTGGAATGGCTTGGAACAAATTGGTACTAGGCATAAAACAAATAACTAAAAGTAGGAGACACAAAATACCGATATAAAATTACTGGCATTTACTGTAAGCTAGTTCAAGGCCAATTGCAACTAATAAATTAGTCATGTTCTCCAAGGGTTTTGTATTTTAATACCAGTTTGAAATAGAGACGGTACCATTTAGAGTCAAATTAGGCTGAAAATTATATTTTAGTTTATCTCTAATTTGCAGATTTGAATATGAGACCTATTTACTTCTATACAACATAATTATTTTTTGTTACTCCGTCGCAAATTTATCCAACAATGTTAGATCTGTTAATATATATATATGTTACAGGCATTTTCTAAATGTAGGCATTTTGTAAAATGACTGATTTTCAGGCAATTTATAAAATGCCTAACCTTGACAGGCATTATATAAAATGACTAAAAATACCTATTCATTTTGTAAAATGACTGAAATTTTGAAACAAAATTCATCAAATTGACTGTTCAGTTTCAGGTTATTTGTAGAAATAGGATATCACTGAGATGCATATGACAAAAAATTGAAAAAAATACAACATCTTGCAAAGAAAATAACTAATGGTAGGGTAAAATTATTTAATTCTTCAAAAACCAGCTGGGAAAGTTTGTATGTCTATACTATTTTCTTTTTAGTGAAACTACGTTAAGTATGTACTCACTCAGTATGTCAGATAGTGATTTTATGATCATTTCGTCAAAATGGCCAAAAAACAAATTGTTCTGTCAAAAGAACAAAATTTACAAACGAATATTTTGAAAAATCTAGATTCGAAACAGAAGTAAAGCATATGAAGCAGGGAAAACAATTGATTTTAATTCACTGATTGCTGTTTTTTGCATTCAGTAGCAAATATTTCATGCATTTTTAAGACGAAAACAAATCTCTAATGACAGGGTCTCCCTCTATAGATACATCACTCATCATGGGTAGATCTGCTTCAGTCCGTTAAAAGCTATGATAAGCTAAATGATAAATATTGTGTAACAGTTCTGCCATCCAAACATTTTATGAAATACTTGTAACAAATAATTGTCGAGTTCTGTGCTTGTGTGAATCTAAAATAATACAGTAGAATTTATTTTTGATTAGTAAAAGCTTAAACATTCAGTAATTATCCTAGATAAAACTGCTCTGTTGTTCAAAACTTTCAATTGTTCAGTTTGTATTTTAACATTTCATTCTATAAAATAATTTCAGTAATTTTCTAAAATGCCTTTAAATTTTTCCAGGCATTTTGTAAAATGCCTAGAAAAATTAGTCAATATATAAAATGCCTGAATCTTACAGGCATTTAAGAAAATGTCTAAAGTTTTTAGGCATTTTACAAAATGCCTGAATTTAGAAAATGCCTGTAACATATATATTATATGAAATTTTCATTAATAGTGAATTCACCCAAGATCTTTGAAATCATATAAGAGTTGCTACTCTTGCCTAAAAGAAAGCAACTAAAAAAGGGTCATTGAATTTATAACGAACGATACCCAAAAGAAATAACTGATAAATATAATTTGTCATTCATATCATTGATATTATAAAATGATTGACGACATACTTTATACGTTAAATGTTTGCTTTTATGATAGGACATCTGATCCTATATATTTGTTTTACAACATTTACAGTCAGCTATTTGTTTAACAACGTTAACACCCAATTTTGACTAGTTCTTTTGTCAACTGGCGACCAATCAAACTAACAACTTGTTTCTCTGTTCAGATACTTTCCGAGAAGTGTGTACCCATTTTGGACATCTGTTATTATTCCTTGATTAAAAACATATTAAGGAACGAGAAAATCAAGCAGTTTTACGATATCATATAGAAGTTGTATAAATTTAAAGTCACTGTGATATAAAATACTGCAAACAATTTTTTTTATGCTTTAAGATTTATAGCGAGAGTAATGTGTTTCCCAGATACCTGATCGGACATTACATCGGACAAAATTGTCGGTTTATCTATAAACTCATAGAAATAAAGAAAACAAAACAACTGGTCTCCTCTGGCGTTACACGGTGGCAAAACTTCCATTCCCTCGATTGATGAGGTCGCTACTGCTCGACTTCATTTATAGAACATTCCATATTATAGTACACGTATTTCTTAAAAAATGGCCAGCTGAAGCATAGGAAATTGTATACCTTTAAGTTAGTGTTAGGGTAGCATTTAATTAAAGGCTAATATTTGGATTATAGCCGGACAGATGAGTAATCAATATTACAAATGTATCGCCAGTCCAAGCCACCTCCTAATCATCTCTACATTATCAAAGCCATATCTAACCCCACTGCAATAACCGTTATTGCTCACCAAAATGGTAACAAACATGCAACAAGAGCTGAATATGAGCACCATAATTAGTAACGGAAGTCACATAGTAACAATGATTGTAACAAATGAGAAAACAGCCATACAAGTGCTATAAGGTAACACAAGTTCACTACAGACTCCATGTTGGTCATCTCAGATGTATACTAAATAACGCAGTGATAAAAGCAAGAAAAATAAAAAAAAAAGCAATATTTTTCATCGCAATTTAAATTGCAGAAAATATGGCGCATTTATATGCCAGCTTACAAGAAGACAAAGACTTATTAAAGATCAATACTTTAACATACAATAGATTCTAAAATACGAGTCTGCTTGCCATGAGCAACACGACAAGTAGAGATGCTTTAGTTTACAGTGTTCCATATCCTTTTTGGAAACTTTCAAATTAGGTTGATTTATATGTACCGATGGTTTTTTTAATTTGTTGATGTCTTAGGGTAATACAAAAGAAATCCATCAACCGGTTGTTGTAAGGTACCTACATGTAGTCACTGGATGTGACTGATTGATGTATTTCATACGAGTAACACGTCGGTTGTCACTAGCGAAGCAGGTAACACTGACCTTTCCAGAACATCTTAGTTCCCCACGTTTTCATACGGTTCGTGTTGCTCAGTCTTTAGTTGTATGTGTACTGTTTTGTGGACGGTTTTTTTTTTTTTTTTTTTTTTGGCCATAGTACTGTCTGTTTTACTTCGACTTATGGCTTTTGATTGCTCCCTTGGTATTTTCACCCTGTTTTTTTCACAGTAAATCTCCGCATAGAAGTTATACATAACAAAGGAAACAGAGATTAGCATCCCAAAAATACCGCATTTTCAGGAAAATAATTACATGCCTATGCAGAGAAACGAAGTAGACAAAGATGATAGACTCGGATTCAAAAGATACTACGCAACGTTAACTAAAACTACATACATGTACATTGTGCACTTAAAACAAATTTTAAGTGTATAAAAAAAAAATTGGGCTGTGATTGAAGCCTTCGTTTTCCCGTTCAGGTCAATCAGAGGTGTTTTGCGTTCATTCACACTATCTGTCATGATAATGACACATATACGATTTTTTCACGTGTATTCAACTTGTGACAAATTAAGGCCACGTTAATCTATCAATTGTCTAAAGATAGTCGAGCTCGTTGTCGATACAGCGTTTTATACATGTCTAAAATTACTAGATTTTGCTGTAGCTAGTACAAGGCCAATTACAACTAATAAATAAGTCATGTTCTCCAAGACTTTTGTAATTTAATACCAGTTTGAAATAGAGACGGTACCATTTAGGGTCAAATAAACCTGACAATTGTATTTTAGATTATCCCTTATTTGCAGATTTGAATATGAGACCAATTTACTTCTATACAACATAATTATTTTTTGTTACTCCGTCTCAAATTTATCCCAACAATGTTAGATCTGTTAATATATATATATTATGTGAAATGACAGATTTTTTTCATAAATAGTGAATTCACCCAAGATCTTTGAAATCATATTGATACTCATGCCTAAAAAAAGGTAATGATTATGTTTATCTACCCGCTGGTGAAAAACATAGAAGACGCTTCTTTTGTGTATCAATATTAGGAACACTTTACCTTTAGTATTCATTCTTTAAATTGCACATTACCTTAATGGCGCTAATTTCATAATTCTACACACAAATTTTGTAGTTCTCATACATCTTTTTTACCATTTGATAAGGGACTTTCCGATTCGGATTTTCCTTGGAGTTCGGTAGTTTTGTTATTTTACTTTTTCTCATACTTACATTTTTAAAAATGACTAATTATACATTCAATGAAAATTTTTCTAAAGTAAGATATCAACTTATTTGGAAAAAGAGCCACAAAGAGTGGCTAGGGGGGTAGCCAATATTCAAAATAATTTGGGCTGAAGAGGTAAGTCACAGTTATTAAATACATGATGTCATAATAAATCAAGTACATCCTTTCTATAGTTGTCGATACATATTTTTATCGATTCGATGATTGTATATCGGACTACGTTCAATCACGGTCTATATACTTTCATCGGGTCGATAAATGCATACATTGATCTCATCAAAATTCTATAAATGTTTAGTACACTGTAATACATTGTGCCTGTATTTCGGGTTTGGAGGTAGCACCATATTAAATATGTAATTATCCAGTCATTTATACGGCGTAAATCCATGTGAATCGTTCCCTCGATTACTACCTAGTACACAGTGATTGTTTTCTTTCGTTAACTGATAAAGATTATCATGTCGCATATTCAGTTCAGTTAGTTAAATATATCAACTATCGTAAAATGGAGTATGAAGCATTAATCAATATTGTAGGTTAGTTATTGTTTGTTTTTGTTCAAAAATGTGTAACCTTTTATATGATTATTTTTCATCTTGAAACGAAAACAATGCAGCTTATAATAAAAGAATGAGTAAACAACTGTTAAGGTTCATCATAACAAATGGACAAATATGGCTGTATTTACACCTCGAAATCTCCTCTGAGTACAGACTGATCTGTGCAGCCGGAAAAGATAAAATCTTTTTGGGATTTTGATGGGCATTTGTTTTCCTTCCTGCAGAAGGTGTAAAAAAAAACTAAGTTGGGATAAAACTTTGAGATGCTCCCTCTCAGGTAACAACTGTATTGTATTGTATTGATTGACATGGATAATCGACAGACGATAGGTATCTACATAACTATAGGTGAGTTAAATGGTTTAACTGAGTGGACAGTATCAAAGAGATATTCAGGTGTTTGTTTATTTTTACACCTTCTGCCAAAACGAGAAAAAAAAAATGCCCATCATAATCCAAAAATGATTTTATCTTTCTGAAACACAAAATGCATTTAACTTTTATATATCTAGTGGATGCCAGGCCTTAAAACTTTCAAAACTGCACAGGTCAGTCTGTACACAGAGGAGATTCTGAAGTGTAAATACAGCTACATTTGTCCATTTGTTATGATGAACCTTAACAGTTTAAAGAGTGCAACTTGTGTGAGCTAAAAGCTTGGACTTGAAAGCAGTAATAATCCATTACGTTTATATATTTTAGTCCCCCGATGCTTGTTTTTATCTCTACAGTGCTTTCTGTACATTACTTTCTAAACTGCCATCACAAATCTTTCGTGTTTGTCGATTTGTTAAAATCCAAAACTAATACATGTAATATGCACGATTGTTCATTTTAAACATGTCTTAGTATATTTGAAATTTAATTCATAACGCACGAAACTACAAAGATAAAAACTGATAGATATGATATGTTATTCATATCATAGATATTATAAAAGGATTAACGACATACTTTCTATGTTATGTGTTTGCTTTTAAAGCCTTTAATGATTTTAAACCTATGTATTTGTGTAACAACATATATAGTCAGTTATTTGTTTTCCAAATTGTTTAACTATTTCTTTGGTCAACGGGCAACTAATCAAAATATCAACTTGTGTTTAAGTTTAGTTACTTTTCGAGAAGTGTGTACCCATTTTGGACATCTATTATTATTTCCATATTAATTACACATTAAGGAAAGATAAAATCAAGCATTTTTGTCACTAACAAAATGAAGAATATTACAATATTCAATATGAATTTAAAGTTTATGAAATACTACACACAAAACTTTAACTTTAACTTGTAAACTATGCCAAAATAAAATAAACTGATTCTAGGAAAGGAAAGAATATAAGCTTCAAGATCCATAGTAATGTTGTCTTTCCCAGATACCTGATTGGACATAACATCAGACCAAATCGTAGTTTCATTTATAAACTCATAGAAATAAAAAAAAACTGTTTTCCTTTGACGTTACACGGTGGAATAACTTCCATTCCCTCGATAAGTGAGATCACTTTAGTTCAATTCTATTTTTAGAATATGTCATATTATTGTACATGTATGTCTTAAGCAGAGTCAGCTGAAGCATAGGAAATGGTATGCGTTTAAGTTAGTTTTAGGGTAGCAATTAAAGGTTAATAATTACCAGTACACATGAGTAATCAACATTAGAAATTTATATCCTCTACAAAGAACTTATTTATTTGAAGCTTTCGTTTCGGTATTTGAAAGAACAGTTACTCAAATTTATAACTGGGTGTATGAGAATATAATACCAAACATCAGTCCAAGCGACCTCCTCATCATCTCTACATCATCAAATTTTACCATATCTCCCCCCACTACCATAACCATCATTGCTCACCAAAAGAATTGTAACAAACAAGCAACAAGAGCAGAATATGAGCAATATATATAGTAACAGAAGGCACATAGTACCAATGATAGTTACATATGAGATAAACAACCATACGAGTGCTATACGGCAACACAAGTTCCATACAGAATTTATTTTGGATATCTCAGAAGTATATTCAATATAAACGCATAGAGAAAAACCAACAAATATAATCAACAAAAAAGCAATATTTTTCATCGCAATGTAAATTGCAGAAAATATGGCGCAATTTTATACCGAGCTTACAAGAAGCCAAAGACTAGTTATAGACTTATATTTTAGCATACATTAGACACTAAAATATTATTATGCAGATGTTCTAAGTTCCCCACGTTTTGATACAGTTCGTGTTGCTCAATCTTTAGTCTTTTTTAGTGTACTGTTTTGTGGACGGTTGTTTTACTGGTTTGGCCATAGCACTGTGTATTTTACTTCTAATTATGGCTTGTGATTGCTTTCTTGGTATTTTCACCATTTTTTCGCATTAATACTCCACATAGAAATTATATATAATAGTGAAACATAGATTAACATAAATAAAAGTACCGCATGTAAAGGAAAATAAGAAAATATATGCAGAGGATCGACGTAGACAAAGATGATAGACTCAAATTCAAAAGATACTAACTAAAACTACAAAATTATACACTATTTGAAATCCATTAACCCTGGAAAAGGGGTGTTTTTGTCATCAAAGCAAAAAATTAACTACCTGCATGGAATCACAGTTCATACATGTACATTTTCCACTTCAATCAAATTTTAAGTGTATGAAAAAATGTATTATGGTTTGATTTAAGCCTTCGTTTTTCCGTTCAAGTCATTCAGTATTTTGCGTTCACTCACATTTGCCACGACAATGACACATATGTAGGGTTTTTTTTCACGCGTATTCATCTTGTGAAAATTAAAGTCACGTTATTCAAACAAGTGTCCTAAAATAGGCGAGCTCGTTGTTGATACAGCGTTTAAGTATTTGTAACAGAATGCTAATCCCTTGCTTCGTGATTAAGTGCGAGCTTTAGCGAAGAAAGGAATTATCATTCTCTTTTAAACTTAGAATATTGTAAAATGCTCAAGACTCAAACGATCTCTTGACCTTTTTTATAAAGAATTCGCTTCATTGTCACCGTGTGCTTATAAATTGTATTTTAGTATTTGGACAATAGGCTGATAACTTGGTTAGACCAAAGAGATATTTTACATGATGAGCAAAATGGTTTTCGCTAAAATAGAAACACTATTGATCGTTTAAATACAATTTCGTGCATTATGAAGACTTTTGCTGTCTCTGTAATTTTAAGAAAAGCTTATGATACAGTTAACAAGTGTTTACTGTTAAGAGATTTACATGATCTTGGAATCAGTACAACATTTATTAATACTATTTAAACTATTTACATTATTGATATTGATGGTGAAAAAATTGGTATTCTATCATTTGCAGATGAATTAATTGTATTAATTGCTGAAAATGAAAATGACTGACAATTAATGTTAGATACTCTATTCTTTCCAATCGTGGATCCAGGAATCTGAATTTTGGAAAACGTATTAGCTTAAAACTTAGGTCATATTTAATCCAATTTTTTTTTATTTGTTTATTTTGGGGGCATTTTTGTAATATTGTTTAATTTTTTCTTTATTAATTTTCTTATTCATTAATATTCTCATAATAACATTATCGGTACCAATTTTACCATTGAACTTCAACTTATGTAGATTTTTTGCTTTTGTTTCAATTCAACTTTTAGTCAGTTTCAATAACAAATCCTTTTAAGCTGATAAATGTGCGCTAAGGCTGTTGTAACTCATTTAAAGGAATTCTTTCTTTTTGGACTGTAAGCCGGTCTGTATTTTTGTTTGATGTTTTTCTGCTTTTCATCGATTTGATGAGTTAAAAGTAAAATCACAAAAATACTGAACTCCGAGGAAAATTCAAAAAGGAAAGTCCCCAATCAAATGGCAAAATCAAAAGTTCAAACACACAAACACCTGTCATATTCCTGACTTGGTACAGGCATTTTTTTTATGTAGAAAATGGTAGATTGAACCTGGTTTTAAAGCTAGCTAAACCTCTCACTTGTATGACAGTCGCATACATTCAACTGATTTTTATAGTTTTTTTTTTTTCTTATGCTGTACTGTTACACCAATGTCCCAGGTTAAGGGGAGGGTTGCGCCCTCAAACTAGTTTAACCCCGCCACATTCTGTATGTACCTGTTCCAAGTCAGGAGCCTGTAATTCAGTGGTTGTCGTTTGCTGCTGTATATCATATTTGTTTTTCGTTCTTTGTTTTGTACATATATCAGACCGTTAGTTTTCTTATTTGAATTGTCTTGCATATTTTATTTCGGGGCATTTTATAGCTGACTATGCGGTATGGATTTTGCTCATTGTTGAAGACGGTACAGTGACCTATAGCTGTTAAATTCTTTGTCATTTAGTCTCTGGTGGCGAGTTGTCTTATTTGCAGTCATACCACGTCTTATTTTTATATATACTAAACAATAGGTTAATCCGGGGGTTTACTAAGAACATGATTTACATTCATTCTTCACTATTAAGAAACATCAAATTCTACAATTTAATTGGTCGAGAGCACTTTGCTATATTCTTAAATTGGTTTGATTTGCAATGTTAGTAATATTTGTATATTAATTGTCATGACAAACCATTTAGCCATAATTGATAACCTTTAATTTTATGTTTGTTTTGTTAAATGAAACAAATAATTAATACTGATTTTAAGTACAATATCAAAATAAATATAGATCATCCCTTAGAAAGAAATTGTGGTTTATCTGATAAGTTTTTGATCTACACGTACACCTATATTATAAAAGAAACATATAAGTAAAATGCGTTTAGGATATATAAGCCCATTGCAAAGATGTATATTGGCAATAGATCTAAAAACGTATTACATCTTGTTACATAACCAGATATAGCTTTTTATAAATATAAAAGCAATTGTTTGCTTATATTGCTTGAAAATGAAACGAAATTTTATGAATTTGATTTAAACTAATATAGAAACCCTATTGCAAATTATATAGCTTAGCCAAATGCACACGAAGAGGATTTTATTCGTAGGTAATGGAACAAAAGCGTCCAAACAAGGACAATTTATAAAAGGGAAGAGAAAAAAGTATATTTTGTTCGTTATTTATTGTATAGACTTTCTAGTCTGAAACTAAAATATCTAAATCTAGGAACAGAAAGTTATTATCAGATTTATTCAAAGTTCCTTCCCTTGGATAAATTTCAGTGGCATATTTTGAGAATTCTTGATTATCATCGAAAACAAATCAGTAAGGCATTGGTAAGTGTTGTTGGTCATATCAATTAAATGTAATTAAGACGCATCTTGACTGACTTTGACCATAAACTATGATTCGTAACAATGCAGGAACAGATCGGCTTTTGGTACCGATAGAAATACTTATATGTACAACCTGTCGATTAACTTTATTGCAGACACCTGTTTAACATCCCTCGACCTGCTTTCGAAGATTTTACAATTGGCAAAACAGTTGGCAAAATTCAAATCATATTTTAATCTCTAAATTGCCCCGGGTGTAGATATTTATGTATCAACATGATTAATAAATACAATTGTTAATTTGAATCCTAATATTTCTTTTAAATCTATACATTATAAAAAGTATGATGTATCATATGTGTGCAATGTTTTATGTAATAATTATTCCACTATATGAAGTAACGCAATATTTTAAATGCTTACTGTTGGTAAACTTTATTCTGTATTTGTCATAATTGATAAGTTCAACTGGTAATTTTTTACTTTTCTGTGAAAGTTGTCTGTCCTATCTAAACAAACATTATTTGATTTATATTGATTTCAGGTATGAACATAGTTTTTGGGACGGTGTTTCTATCAGTTGGAGGATTTTTCCTATACCTAGATCTATACCAAAAACCTAAATGGATGTTGAAGTACAAAGTACAGATAGGCACAAATACACCGGTAAATATACAGAAGAACATGCTATAATTTATCACATGATCAAAACACAAATGCATATGATTCCAAGCTATATACACCACGTTCAATACTTATGTCTAATTCGAGCTGTGCCTTTTTACATACTAGGAAAGAGAACTATTTTATGATAGACATATAAAATTCTGTCATTAAGAGAGATATATACATGTTGGTATTCCCTTTGTGTCTCTACTGGTTCTTAATAAAATCTCATACCAAGGCGTTCATATAGTAATATGTTTGTTCTGGTCTTAAAACATGATGGCCCGGAATCATCATCGACGTCATCATGTATCATACGACTTTTTCATGCATTAACTCAAATCAAATTATGGAGAACAAAAAATAACCTTTAAAATTCAAATAAGCAAAACAAAAAAAAAACCTTTATAAATTTATTGCATCCAACGCGCTTTTCTGGATAAACCATATTTCTATCATTATCAAGAACACTCATACCCAGACAATTGAAAGCGATGATGTATAAGTTCCTAAACACGTGAAGAACTATATTAGAAAGAGGGTTCCTAGAGAATAACAAAAAAAAACATCTTAAAAAAACATTCATATGTTAGAAAATCAAACTTTAGTTTTAACTGTTAATTCATGAAAAGTGAATGTTAGGCGAAAACTCAATATAACGCGCACTTTTTTTGTTCTGATGTAGATGATTGTTTATTTTTAATATTATTTAATTCCAGGTCAGCAAGGAGAAGTTGAAGAAACTAATTAACGTGTTGAACTTTAATTACATACTCATCGGTTTACCTTTCAGCATTGTGCATTACTATTTGCAACGTTGGAGAGGATGTGACGCCACGTTGACCATGCCATCTTTTACAACGCTGATAACACATCTTGCCTTGTTTGTACTGATTGAAGAAGTAGGGTTCTACTATACACACAGGTTTGTAAAAGATTTTTTTTTAATTGATACAAAACACTTGTTTCGACTACAAATTATTAACGATTACAATGGTACTCGCAAAAAGGTAAACATTTATTTTCATAAAGATAAAACAAACTGTATTGATATGAATAAATAAAAGGTGCATAAAATAAACATCAATGGAGAAGTTCAAACATGTTAATAGCTTAAAATATAACACTACTGTAGAGACATAAAAAAATACACACACACACACACACACAACAAAACAAACAAAATAAAAAAAAACAATTTTTTTTAGCCTTAGATGCATGATTTTTTTATAAGTTGTTATTGGCTTTGAACTAGTTGTCAGTAACTGCGAGTACTCTCAGATCTGTACATCGTGTCTTTTTTGTTTTTGGGATGTATAAGTACCCTGTCACGTCCGGTCTTTGTTTTTGTTAGATGTATTTCCACTTCGTAATGATCTTAAACCCTTTTCGTCTAATTTTTATAGTTTGTTCTTTTGTTGTACTGTTACACCACTGTCCCAGGTTAGGGGGAAGGAGGGGATTGGCGCCTTTCAAACTAGTTTAACCCCATTCACAAATCCATAAGTGCCTGTCGCAAGTCAGGAGACTGTACTTCAGTGGTTTTCGTTTGTTGCTGTATATCATATTCGTTTTTCGTTTATTATTTTGTACATATAACAGGTCGTTAGTTTTCTCGTTTGAATTGTTTTACATACTAGTATGTCATTTCGGGGCCTTGTATAGCTGACTATGTGGTATTGATTTTGCTCATTGTTGAAGGCCGTACGGTGACCTATAGCTGTTAATTTTTGTGTCATTTTGGTCTCTTGTGGAGAGTTGTCTCATTGGAAATCATACCACATCTTCTTATTCTTGTACTATATATAAACTTCGATTACCATAAAAAAGAATCATGAAAGTTACCAGGCGTATAACGCGCGTTTCGTCTACAAAAGACACATCAGTGGCTCTGGTCCATTTAGTTTTGGTGGAAACCACTAAACATTTATGTAATTGGTCGAAATTTATTTAACACTATTTATTTTAGGTTACTACACACGCCTTTATTGTACAAAAACATCCACAAACTTCATCATGAGTGGACATCACCTATCGGTATCGAGGCAGTGTACGCACACCCATTTGAGTACATATTATCCAACTTATTACCAGTGGCAGGTGGGCCTTTCCTATGTGGCAGCAACCTGTTAACTACATGGACATGGTATATTCTAGCCACTGCTGTTACTATCATCCATCATAGTGGCTATCACCTACCGATTTTACCTTCTCCTGAGTTTCACGACTTTCATCATCTAAAGTAAGTTTTTGAGAAAATATGTCATACCTACTTGTACACTTCTGGAGCACCTGAGATCACCCTCAGTTTTTGGTGTGATCGTGTTGCTTAGTCTTTAGTTTTCTATGTTGTGTTTTGTTTACTTTTGTTTGTCTGTTTGTCTTTTTCTTTTTTAGCCATGGCGTTGTCAGTTTATTTTCGATTTATGAGTTTGAATGTCCCTCTGGTATCTTTCGCCCCTCTTTTATGAAAGTCTTGCGCATCTGGTCCAATAGCATATGTATCGTTGGATTTAGGATCATGAATGTAGGATTTAGGTGTATACCAATAATATTTAGGTCATTTTAAATTAATTGATAACAAAATCAATATTTATACCTATAAAAACAATATTCAAAGATTCAATTAGAGTGGTAAATTGGTAACCTTTTAAAAAAAAATAACATACAAACTGGATTTTGAAAGCATTGTGAAAATCAGATCTTATTGTAATGCTTGAAAAGTACAAAATGATTGTGAATTACAATTATTAAACGAACATTCAGTCTGTTTAAATCACATATTATATGAGATAAAGCAGACACATGTATATTTTTTCAGATTTATTGGAAACTACGGTATCATTGGAATGTGTGACTGGATACACGGTACAGACAGTATGTTTAGGAAAAGTATTCAGTCAAAACGGCATAAAGTTATCTTCTATTCAAACGAAATGACACTCATGAATGGTTAAACTATTATTTGCATATAAATGAAATACCAAAGAAGTACATGTACATTATGATATATGTAGGTATGATAAGGTCACTTTTACATCTAGAATTCCAAAAATAAAAAGGTATTATAAATCTATCAAATAACATCCTTGATATGTTCATCAGACATAACTTAGTGAAACCAGCAATTTTAACCAAATGGAGTTTAACTACAAATCAACCGAAAAGTAATGTTTAAAAGTCCACAATTTCCTATCCTGTAAGATACACAGAATGCTACGGAAGCCGATAAGGGCCATTCAAAAAAAAAATTTATGTCGTAATAACGACATCACTATGTCGTAATTTCGACATAACATGTCGTTATTACGACATCTCTATGTCGTAATTTCGACATGACATGTCGTTATAACGACATCGCTATGTCGTAATTTCGACATAACAAGTCGTAGTTACGACATCACTATGTCATAATTTCGACATAACATGTCGTTATTACGACATCGCTATGACGTAATTTCGACATGACATGTCGTTATAACGACATCGCTATGTCGCAATTTCGACATAACAAGTCGTAATTACGACATCACTTTGTCGTAATTACGACATAGCTATGTCGTAATAACGACATCGCTATATATATAAAAGAATATGTATTATGATTGCCAAGAGACTAAATGACACAGAAATAAACAATTATAGGTCATCATAATGCCCTCAATAATGAGAAAAGCCCCCGCATAGTCAGCTATAAAAGAGGGACGAAAGATACCAGAGGGAGAGTTCCCGACATGACAGCTGTTTAATAATTCAATTCAAACGAGTGAATAATATAGGCCCCAAATAAGACGAAAAAAACATCAAAATTGGAGAGAAAACTGAAAAAAAATGGTTTCTAACCTCAGGGATAATAACCTTTGGCTATCTTAGATTTAATGCAATCAGTATGCATCAGCATCAGGGTACAGCTCATTTGCATATCATTTGCATATTTTTACAAATACTCGAAATTTAGACAATTTCTGATAACAATTCAGCATGCTAAGTGTTTATATCCCTGAGGTTAGAAACCATTTATTTTCTCTCCAATTTTTATGTTTTTTCGTCTTATTTGGGGCCTACAGAGGTTATCAAGGCTTTGGGATACGCTGGTTTGTTCAAAAACGAAACTCTCCACAAGAAACCAAATGACACAGAAATTAACAATTATAGGTCACCGTACGGCCTTCAACAATGATCACAGCTCATGCCGCATAGTCAGCTATAAAAGGCCCCGAAATGACAAATGTAATACAATTCAAACGAGAAAAACTAGCGGCCTATTTTATGTACAAAAATCAACGAAAAACAAATATGTGAATTAAAGACTTGGGACAGACACATACATTAAGAATGTGGCGGGGTTAAACATGTTAGCGGGATCCCAACCCTCCCTCTAAGTTTGTAGGAATAGTTGTCCTGGGGAACAGTGGTTAAAAGAACTTGGGGTACAAAGTTTTAATAGGGCTTCAATGGGGAGGACGCTTGAAGAATCTCATTAAGAACCAACAATAACAATGCAGTTATAATTTGCATCAAGCCTCAGTAGTACATTAAGATTCAAGTGTGTACAAATGAAGGTACAGAGATCCGTGGGTCTGACCACTATGAGTCCTAAGTTTAACATAGTCTTTATTGGGAAAAGCTTAAAATTCATCTTATTCACAACCTGCAATGCCAAACATAATTAGAGTCTCCAGGGAGCTTGAATTGCTCCCCTATTCAACTGGGTCTCATTTGACTTGATTATAAATAAAGTTCTAGTATGTGCAAGTCTGAGGTGCTATTGAATAACTTTAATTAAGCTTGATTGCATAAAGTGTTCAATATTCTCAAAAAAAAAAGATGAATTTGTTTACGATACAAACTTTGCCTTTACTGGCGACCATTTTGAAATTCCTATCGCTTCAAAAAGTGAAAAGTTAAACTATAAGGTTGTCGTTATTATCAGATAGCGGTCAGGATTCTGTTATTCAGTGGTTGTCATTTGTTGCTGTGTTACATATTCGTGTTTCGGTCTTTGTTTGTACATTATTAAAACCGTTATTTTCACTCGTTTGAATTAAATTGCTAAACAGCTGTCATTTCGGGGACTCTCCCTCTGGTATCTTTTGTCCCTCTTTTATAGCTGACTATGCGGGGGCTTTTCTCATTATTGAGAGCAATTATGATGACCTATAGTTGTTTATTTCTGTGTCATTTAGTCTCTTGGCAATCATAATACATATTCTTTTATATATATAGCGATGTCGTTATTACGACATAGCTATGTCGTAATTACGACATAGCTATGTCGTAATTACGACATAGTAATGTCGTAATTACGACTTGTTATGTCGATATTACGACATAGCGATGTCGTTATAACGACATGTCATGTCGAAATTACGACATAGCGATGTCGTAATAACGACATGTTATGTTGAAATTACGACATTTTGAAATGCCTATCGCATCAAAAAGTGAAAAGTTAAACTATAAGGTTGCCGTTATTATCACATAGCGGTCAGGAGTCTGTAATTCAGTGGTTGTTATTTGTTGCTGTGTTACATATTCGTTTTTCGGTCTTTGTTTGTACATTATTAAAACCGTTATTTTCACTCGTTTGAATTGAATTATTAAACAGCTGTCATGTCGGGGACTCTCCCTCTGGTATCTTTTGTCCCTCTTTTATAGCTGACTATGAGGGGGCTTTTCTCATTATTGAGGGCATTATGATGACCTATAGTTGTTAATTTCTGTGTCATTAATTCTCTTGGCAATCATAATACATATTCTTATATATATATATAGCGATGTCGTTATTACGACATAGATATGTCGTAATTACGACATAGACATGTTGTAATAACGACATGTTATGTCGAAATTACGACATAGCGATGACGTTATAACGACATGTTATGTCGAAATTACGACATGCTATGTCGTAATTACGACATAATTTTTTTTTTTGAATGGCCCTTATCGGCTTCCGTAGAATGCAGTCACTTTCAATTGAAAATTCCAATGTTTTAAACCAAGTGTCTCCAATGAAAATTCACAGAAAACAGTTTGTAGTTTATCTAAGAGTCAAAATATATCTCACGATTTTATTTTCCACAGTTAATGATACTGTCCACTATTCCTCGACAACACGTTCTAACTCAGAAAAGTTTACAATGCGATGTACACACATTAATCATAGTCATACATGTGTTATTATTTAAAAAATATCAAATACTTTTGTCAAGTAAACGCAGAGAAATCTTCAATAAAACCTGCAAACATATTTATTATGTTTAACCTTGTGTTTGTCCTCTTGGTTTGTAATTTCTAAAGTCTTTCTATTATGTCAATATTTGTATGTTATTTGTTATACTCATGTATTCAGTTCATTATCTATTGTTTTGATTGTTTTTCTGTGCCTATATTATGCACTAGTTGTTTGAGAATAAAGATGTAGACTATATATACCAAGCTCTAAATTTGTTTACAATGTTAAATGAGGAGATGTAATATATGATAGCCAAATAGACATGTACAAATATCCACTAGAGTCCGTATGGGGTAGAGTTAAGCAGATATAGGTTACATACAAATCTAGAAAAAAAATGAAAAACAAATATGAAAGCGAATTAACAAACACTATCAAAGCAATATCATTAAAAAGTTTTGTCGCAGACGATGTTTTAGTCAATCGTGTATACATGTTATTGGAAATATACAGTTTATCATTATATACATATATATGTATATTAGTCTCTGACGGTATGGTCAATTTAGTAGTCAGTGCTTCGTCACTGACATGATTTATAACTTACTGTAAATGTTCTAAATTTCCCCGTTGATAAATCCGGAAATTATTAAGAAAGTAAGGTTCCGCCAACCTACGCAATATAAATAAAATATATATCTCTGATTTCGTTATACTTATATGGTATACTACACTACCAACAATTTGCCTAACGTTTACATGTACATTAAATGCCGCTATATAAATAGTACTTTTAGGAAACACCACTAATCAGTACATTAAATACCACTATAAAAACAGTACATTTAATGCCGCTATATAAACAGTACTTTTAAAAAACATCACTAATCAGTACATTAAATGCCGATATATAAACAGTACTTTTAAGAAACATCACTAATCAGTACATTTATTTATATATCATTTTTAGTAATGTTGAGAAAAAATTGTTTTCAGTACTGAAAATTTCAGTCATTTTTCAGTACTGAATATTTCAGTCATTTTTCAGTACTGAATATTTCAGTCATTTTTCAGTACTGAAAATTTCAGTCATTTTTCAGTACTGTAAATTTCAGTCATTTTTCAGTACTGAATATTTCAGTCATTTTTCAGTACTGTAAATTTCAGTCATTTTTCAGTACTGGATATTTCAGTCATTTTTCAGTACTGTAAATTTCAGTCATTTTTCAGTACTGAATATTTCAGTCATTTTTCAGTACTGAATATTTCAGTCATTTTTCAGTACTGTAAAGTTTAGTAGTTTTTCAGTTCTGAACATTTCAATCAACTTTCAGTAATGAAATAGTATTCATATTTTATACCTAATAAAAAAGTCATCTAAGAACTATACTATTGTAAGATGATTTTTGTTAAGTATTCTTTCATTTAACTTTCCATTTTGCCTTGAAAGTTTTTTTCGATGAACCACATGCTTACGCTGCATTTTGTTTATATATCTTATTAACCTTGTTTATATCTTGTTTCATTTTTGGCTGCTGCTTTAATGTTAAAGTTAAATATTCAAATAGACACTTCAGCTAGAACAGATGTGTCTCCTAAAGGTAAGGAGTGTTACACTAACAGAGATTTGAGTTTCCATGCAATATTATACCCTCATTGTTAATGTGTATGAAAAGCAGATTTTCAGCAATGTCATTTATAAGTCACAATGCCACAGTCTTTAACAGTAGGTAGTCCATGCCATGCAATAAGCTGCGACTTGCTTCAACAACAATTAAAATGGTAATACTATTCTGACGTGCAACACAAAATTTCATTCAGTAAAGTAAATGCTAAACTACACAATTACATACCAATGGCACTATGTCCTTTTTTGACTTTGGACAGACTCATATAAATGTGGCGGACTTACACTTTTGCTGACCTCAAATGTATATTACATTATGATTACTGGTTACTCCTGTTCTTTGGTTGAAAGATTGCAATCCTACCACATGTCCTTGTTTTTTATTACCACATTAAACTATAGATTA